GGATTTGATGAAGACTGTGTTGTTGCGGATTCTGCATGGGACAAAACCACTTTGGACAGACAGAGTTTGCGGAGAAAGATTCACGTTCATGTGTCAGTTGCCATTGAGTGAGTGAGTGAGTTTGGTTTTACGCCGCTTTTATGAATGTTTTAGCAATATCACGGAGGGGGACTCCAGAAACGGTGTCAGTTGTGACCACATACCGTGTAAGGACGTGAGTTAACAATGAAGCTTACAGACCCTGCAAGTCCTGTCATTAACAGTGTCAGTTGTGACCACATACCGTGTAAGGACGTGAGTTAACAATGAAGCTTACAGACCCTGCAAGTCCTGTCATTCAACTGATTTCGGTGTAATACGTCTTTATGTTACCAATACCAAGTTGGAGATTGAATTTTATTATTGATTTATTTTATTATTTATTTATCCAAGATTGGTAGGCAGTGTTCGTCAAGTGAGGGTCGATTCCCGGAACTAATATGTGTAGCCTATTTCTTTTTGTACAGCGCCGTAACAATGTTTGACTATTGCCTAACGTGGTGTGAGAGACACATTTCTTGCTCTCTTTTTCTTTCTTTCTAACTATCTCTAACAGAAATTTCGATTTGAGAGGGGTGTCCCTTTTAGTTTTATTCCAACTGAATCTCACCGGAAAAAAACTACTCCATAGATTCTGACTTTGTGGCTTTGTAATTTAATACTTTGAATCAAAATGAATCTTCATTATATGTCTAATTCTTGTGTTTGTTTGTTTGCATTGTTTTTTATGAAGTGGTGGTTTATCTGTGTCCCATTGTGATCATGCCAAACTCTGGACATGGTCTATCAGTAGTATGGTGATCTATCTTCAGTTGCTGGTGATCTCTAGCCCGTTTTATTTATTGTATTGTAAGACAATTTGTTTAATTTACACAATTACATGCTAGTTTTAATTCTCAATCTGTGATAATCTAGTTATCTTACTGTCCTCACTTGACAATATTCCAGCTATATATGGCGGCGGTCTGTGAATATTCGAGTCAATATTCTAACCCAGGACTTTCACGGGTGTTGAAACCTTAGAACACGGTCACGCTGACAAACATGGACATTTATACCCGATTTACCAGGATTCGGGTTAGATTAGGTTAGATTTTATATAATATAGGTTATTAATAATGTATCGTGCGCAAGCCACACAGCTCTTCACATCGAACTGCCTCGGCATGAGGAGTGAGTGAGTGAGTTTAGTTTACGCCGCTTTTGCAATATTCCGACTTCACACATTGAACCCTCATGTGGGGAATCGAACCCAGGTGTTCGGCGTGACGAGCGAACGCTTTAACCACTAGGCTACCCCACCGACCCTTCTCAGCATGAACGTCTGTGCAACAAGTGCGCCCCTTGTATAACTGAAAAAAACCCAGCTTACTCCCTCTCCATTCTCTATATACATTCTACCTTATTCCATTTTACGTTCAAACTCCGTTCCTAAACGGCGTAGTTCAAAGGTCACCAAACATACAAATATTGTTGTTGTCTTCTGCCAGTGGTGCAACAGCGTTTGCCACATTGTTTGCATTTTTAAATATCAGTTCGACACAAACGGTGTTGAATGTATATTCGTGGTTAGGAAACCTCAGCAGCTTGTCATGTGGAGTGAGTGGTTGAGTTTGGCTTCACGCCGCCCTCCGCAATATTCCAACAATATCTCCGTTGGTCAAACCATAAATAGTTCATTGTACCCATGTGGGGAATCAAAACCGATCTTCGGTGTGACAAAGCAAAAGCCTTTAACCACTAGGCTACCTCACCACCACTGACTGGAGTTTAGTTTTACGCCGCTTTTAGCAATATTCCAAGCAATATCACCGGCGGGGGACACCAGAAATGGGCTTAACACATTGGCCCATGTGGGAATCGAATCCGGGTCTTCGGCGTGACGAGCCAACGCTTTAACCACTAGGCTACCCCACCGCCCCCGCTTTACCCCACCAGCCACAAAGTATTTGTGTTAGTATTCATGCGTTAACGTCTCATGATGGTTTGGTTTGGTTGTTGTTTAACACCGCAATCAGCAGTATTCCAGCTATATACCGGTGGTCTGTACATAATCGAGTCTGGACCAAACAATCCAGTGATCAACAGCATGAGCATCGTGTCAACCACAGGTCAGCGAACCTGACTACCCAATCCCGTCAGTCTTATGAAAATTGACGTCGAACGTGAGGAACGTCAAACGTCGCTTTCACACATGGATGAACGTCAAATCTCGGTTGTCATGTGACCGGAATCACTCCTATATTAAAACTAATTATTTCAAATTAATTCCACAACTAAACTGGACCAGCAAAAGAAAGTATACATCGACTTTGACACCAACTGTTTCATGAAGAAAGCAACAGCAGAAAGCAAAGTGTAATTTATATTCAAGAGCAAACATCGGAGATGATACATGACAAAAATCAGTATAGTACCATAGACAGGTGGACATTTTATGAGCATTTATAATCACGAACCCTTACATTTCAAAAACAAATAAAATGGGAATTGTTGGATACATGTAAACAGATATGCAAACGTTCATTGTTCTGACACAACATATTGTCAATAACGTGTATGACGACCAGCAGCAAGCGCGAACACGCCTCCTAATGGACGTTGTCAGACGTCGGATCACACGTGCATCTATCCGACGCCACTCTTCTTGTAAGGCAAGAACCAGCTCCTGTCTCGTCTGCGGTGCTTGTCTCCAACGACGGATTTGTCTGTCTAGGTAGTCCCACAGATGTTCTATTGGATTCATATCCGGGAGCATGCAGGCCATGGAAGGAAGAACGTTATGCTGGTCAAAGAAAATCACGGGTCACTCTTGCAATGTATGGGGTCTGGCGTCGTGCTGGAATAAAATTCTTTGTTGATGGATACGGTGGAATGGCAAGACAACAGGCGTTAACACTTGGTTGACATACTCGTTGGCTGTCAGTCTTCCATCAATGATCACGTGACCTCTTTTGTTGCCACATATGCCTCCCCAAACCATAACTCCACCGCCGCCATAAGGAAGGATCTCTCGGATACACTGGGGTGCCAGACACTCACCTCTACGTCGATACTCCCCCTCTGCCGTCAGCCTTGTGGTAGGGAGAAACCACTATCATCTGAAAACAAGACTATTCTCCAATTACGGACTTTCCATCGGTAAACACGCACTTTGCCCAAGCCAGTCTGGCAACACGATGTCTATGAGTCAGGTATGGAATCATCAGGGCCATTCCACGGAAAGATCGATAGGGCTCTAATGCCGGTCTCCCCTGAAGTCTCCCGATGACTGTGCGTGGACCGATGCGACGTCCTAACGCCGTCTCTGATGTTGCCGTCACACATCGGTGACGCAAGTGTGGCGTTGTCACACGTGGACGTCCTCGTCTTGGTCGGTCCTGGGTCCTGTCAATCTGCCTGCATCGTTGGAGCGGCCTAGCCACTGTCAAACGTGTACAGCTGAGCGTTCTGGCAATATGAGCCAGTGCTGCACCCATCTCCGCCATACCAACAGCTCTCTCCCTCTGCTCTTCCGTCAAACGTGCCATTATTCTGATGAGCTTCCATTTGGTGTGGGTCATACGAATGTTTTAACCCAACTTATACCAAAATTCTGCACGTGCATTTCATGCATGTTGTGCACATTCCAGTTTTACCAATTTTTCGTGCTACAACTCCCGTTTACGTTGCTGCGTTTTGGGGACATAATTTATTACATGTCCATTGTTAGGCAATTTAATTTTACCAAGAAGCATTCAATCAAAATAACATTTTAAAGGAATGAACAACTGTTTCCAATGTATACTTTCTTTTACCGGTCAGTATATAATTGTCTCACACATCGTAACCGCAATGTCACCCTTTTCCCGTAGAACAACACATACCTTTGCATTTGAGGTGATGAATTTATTCAGAATAACCTTTTAAACTTCACACAAATGTCTCGAAGTACATGTCTCTCGTTTGTCTCTTGCCTTTTATAAATTGACACTTATTTAAATTGGTATTGCCATTTTAAAGCTACAAGTTACATTGGAACATTTCTAAAATAATTTACTTTTATGATCTCATAAAATTATATAACTTTGACCAGTTTTCAATTTCACAATAAAGGTCCAGTTTTATTGTGAAACATTAAACTGGAATGCTTCAATTACTTTAATCACCATCGTTCATATCCTACCACAAGTAACTTGATGTAAAGTAAAACAGATTGGACAATATTGACATGCATGCTCATTAAAAGTTGCATTTGCAAGCAGAATAAAGAATAAGTTAAGTGACTTGTCAGTGAATACCATCTGACATACGGTTAGTGCACGTCCTGTGGAACTTTGAATATTTACAATATTTTAAAACATCACAGCATATAATATATGTATCATTGTGTTTGTTAGTCCATCACACATCTGTTCAGGGCTTTTAGACACAATCGAAAACTTGTCATCTGGTCCTACTTCGTGGCCTGCACCCGTGAAGATACAGGTTAGAATTTCACTTCAGCAACCCAATCTTGTCGTGAGAGGCCACTAACGGGATCAGGTGGTCAGGCTAGCTGACTTGTCATCGTATCCCAGTTGCGTAGATCGATGCTCATGCTGTTGATCACTGGATTGTGTGCTCCAGACTTGATTATTTACAGACCGCCGCCATATAGCTTGAATATTGCTGAGTGCGGCGTAAAACAACGAACAGACATAGTCATGGCCACATGACACCTTTACGGATATGTCATGTTTTTAGTTTCTAGAGCCCTTTCTTGAATGGCTATGGCATCTCCAGCATGAAGCATGTTGGCACAATAGTTCCTCAACCTCGACAGCTGTAGTGGTAAAACGGTTACTGCTGGTGCAACTCCAAAGATAACGTATTTCGTCATCTAAGTGTCATGCTGGAAGTGAATAGAATATGCTGGTTTTGACACAATATGAAGAACCGATTACGTTGCAAAGGAACTCAAGTAACCTAGGTAACGGTAATCAGGATATTGAGTTCTGATGAACTGGCTTCTTCAGCGGATCTGATGCAGGTGTTTCGCCCTGTAGCCAATATGTGGTTACGGCTCCCTTGCCCTGAAAAATGAATGAGTGAGTGAGTTAAGTTTTGCGCCGCTTTTAGCATTATTCCAGCAATATCACTGCGAGGGACACAAGAAATGGAGAATGAAATGTTGTAACGTCGCATCAGAATATTTAGCTATCGACAGATACAACTGTTTCATAGTGTGTGAATGCGTAGACAATAATATATAAGATGCTGAGGTCATTGGCTGTAAGGACCGTTCCAGTCGAATGTCATAATAAACTCAAAATTGAAATGTTTGTTGGCGTGTGGTCCTGTGTATAGAGATCATAGAGCTCTTGAGAGTTTCTAGGACTTCGGTCCTTCCCCCACAACGAAGCACATATGACTCATGTGGTCTCACCCTATTGCCCCTGTTCACCCAGCAGAAAGTGGGTACCCGGTGGGACAAGTCACGTGACTAATAACCTTCTAGCGACTCACAGGCAGCTTGGGTTATCCGGGGTAATAATGTGTTAGCGCGTTATAAATGGCCATTATTTTCACGTTAACGTATGCGTTAATTTCCTTCACATATGTCACATTTTAGTGAAAATTTAGACACACTTGGAAACAAGTCAATAAAAAGGTCTTTAAAAACACATAACGCAAGTAAAACCAAGCTGAACTGTATTTTGTATTTTGCAAAGTTAAGGTGATGACTAAATGAATCCAAGATACATGTAATGATCTTACCTATTGTACTTTGAAATTGCGTTTATTGTTACCAATATGAGTTAGTTTTTATTCAAAAAAAGCGTTCTCGAACATACCTTCATCTCGACTTCTCCTCTTAGTTCAAGGTCAAAGGTTTCAAATACTTCCAACGCTTCTTTCGTCTGTGGACTGACGTGGATTTTCAATGCTGAAAGCAATACAGATTGTTAATCGAAGACAAACTTAAACTACCGACAGTCTCAAAACTGGAAAATAGTGATTATCGAAGTATTTCAAGGTTTGATCCCCCTACCTATGTCCGATCAATTTTATGGAAGATGTAGACATGCCTGCAGCAGTTTAGGGTTTCCCCCCAATTCAGACTGACACACTGCGATGTACGGAATTACTGTTAAATGCGGCGTAAAATCAAAGTCACTCGCTGACTAAATGCGTTAAAACGAGTTTTTGTACTCCTTAACCTCTTTTAAGACACAAATTATCTCGATTAATTAATTCATTACATATTCAATTAAATTTATATCTATATTCAGGTCTAAGACTTTCAATGTCCTCTATACACACAGACTGGGTGGTTTGTCCTGATGGGACATATATCCCAAGATATTGTGGTCTTCGGAATCAAAAATAGTTTAAGAAATAGTATTTTAACATCCCAGTGATACACATCAGTCACAATCATCACACGATGCTTTCTCATAGCTATATGTTCTATCCGTAGATAAACTATTTCTAAACAGTAAACAATACGACTTCTTTGATTGGCATTCTAGGAGTTGGGTAGATGAAGAATGAGGACTATATTTATGGATATACAACTTCTTTATTCGTTATTCGTTGCTTGACTACGACATTAGAATCTATGTCGAAACGTCACCTATATAGAATAGAGAAGTTGTATATCCATAAAAATAGTCCTCATTCTTCAGAAAAAATACGTATGTCTTGTACAAACGGGAATGAATTAGTGGATTTGGAAGAGTAGTTAATAATCCCATCCAAACTGTCATGCACTGATGCCCATTTATCACTTGGACTAGGTGAGTGAGTAGGTTTGGTTTAAAAATGCTTCAACTGACAATATTAGGGTAACATCACAGCATGTACACTTTTACAATAGTTTACAAAATTAATAATGGTTCTTTACTAACATTTCAGGAAAACACGTCATTTGACAAAGGAAACAAAATATGATATAAATAATGAAACAAAAAAACACACCCAACAACCCCCCAAAACAAAACAACAAAACAACAACAACAAACAAAACAAAACAAAACAAAACAACCCAACAAAACAAAACAAAAACAAAACAAAATTAAAACAAAACAAAAACAGGAATTGATGGCCAGGCTCTCCTAACTAAAGTGATCACCCAGTTTCTGCTGAGTTCGTTATGACTCACGTAATCCATTAGACTCCATCCTGGAGGCCGTGTTGACAGTATCCCCAAACAGGCAATACCTCGGCATCTTGTGACCCACGACACCAGCACACACTGACCCTGTGAAGGTAGGCAATAGAAACATTACATAATATAACGTCAAGTTTATCTGTTTGTTGTTTAACGCTGCACTTAGCAATATGTCTTTAATAATCGATTCTGGACTAGACAATCCACTGGTCAACAGCATGAGCATCGATCTACCCAATTGGGATACGGTGACATGTGTCAGCTATGTCAGCGAATCTGACCACTGATCCCGTTAGTCGCCTCTTGCTGAAGACGAATTCTTAACAGAGTCTTAACGCCGTCGGGTTATGACGTTAAGTAAATCAAACGGCTGCACGTATACTCTAATGCTTTCGCCTCTCGAATCATACCGGTATCACGTAATTCATAATGTTGGCACCAGTGGATATTCGGGATTAAAATATTTCGCCATGTGGTCAACGTTCTGGTGTTAATGTACAAAACTCATTTGACCACTTGTGACGTGCCTCTGTCGCCTGCTAGAACCCCGAGTCGAGCTTGTTGACTGGATAATCACGTTCACGCTACCAGGTCACGTTGTCCAGGAACTACTTTTTCATTCATTACAATCACGCGAGCTCACGCATTTATTTTCACTACAGTGGCATTAGTTCGGAGGGACGGGTGGTCGCTTAGTGGTTAAAGCGTTCGCTCGTCACGCTGAACACCCGGTTTCGATTCCCCACATGCCTACCGATATGTCAAGCCCATTTCTGGTGTCCTCCGTCGTGATTATTGCTGGAATATTGCTAAAGCGGCGTAAAAGTAAAGTCACTCACTCACTCATACTGTTTGTGAACTTGATCTTCCCCTGTAGACCAAAGCCTTGTTAAAGAGGCAACTACATGGATCAGGGATTTGACTCACTGTGTGTCCTGGGCCAATGCTTGTGATAACAATCACTCAATTGTCTGGTCCAGAATGCTCATGAGTAAAAAACGCTGATACATTTTCCCAACAAGTGTGTTATCCGGGATGCATCATTATGCAGTGTAACCATCAACGTTTCAGGAGTGACGTCCTTAAGCGTCACATTTGGAAACGTCCTATATATAGGGGAAGTAAGTAGGACACGACCTCAATACTTCCGGTGACAGAGAACGTATACTCGGTCCGGTCTAGTAGAACATGTCCAACTCAGCTGTAACATATATTGGGACTTTTATAAAACTTTGTTGAGTTACATTCCCACACTTCTAGTGGAAGAACACTTCTCATCGCATTTTACCACATTAACTTCGCCTTCCTACCTGAATGAATGCCAATCCGCAGTTTCATCTGTTGTTCAGGTCGATGGCGAATTTTAAAAGATAGAACAGCATCTAGCAGGGAAAGCGACATCCGGGCAATTTCCCGGGCATGAATATTACCGTTCCTCACCGGAAGTCCTGACACCACCATGTAAGCATCTCCTATGGTTTCAACCTTGAAAAAACAGAACAGTGTAAGTTCGGGTACAATACACAAAGTAACCATCAACATAAGCTGCAAGGCAAAAGAAAGCTAAAGTCCGTTTATGGTGGTATAATTCGATGGCAAATGAATGTATTTTATACGGGCATAGTGGCAGTCTTTAACATCATATGTGCGGCGTTTTACGGCGACTGCTTTCAACCAGTGATGTTTTCAGAAAGATAATTTGGTCAAATGAAACAGTATTGTTTACGAGAGTAGATACAGAGAGACAGACAGACAGACATATAGATAGAGAAGTGTGCCTGTATGAATATACTATCAATGGGAACTGGATGTAGTTTTGATCTCGAATATGTTCAATGGAGTATGATCATTTCGCCAAATGAGTATGGTCAGTTCAAGGTAAAACACCGACCACAATGATATTCTGGGGTGGGCTCTAAACAATATGTATTTTCAATCGGCTGCTCAGAAGCAGATTTTATTCTTTGACACAACAGAAGCGATATATTGTAATTACATTACATGCTTCTTTATCTTAAACCCAGATATTAAACAGTCGGCATCAAGCTTATAGAATGATCCGTGTTTCTTACTTTATAGACATCAAAGTTTTCGATGATGGAATCGAACGTCGTGTAGAGGTCGTTCAACAGATCAATAACCTAAAAATGAAAAAGTAATATATTATGGCTTTATCCGGTTTCTTTGTTGCTGTTTAAAACAGTACTTTCCTGATACATGAACACAGCCTATGAATCAGTAGGGTTGGTTGGCAATATTCCAGCTATATGTCGGCGGTCTGTTAATAATCGAGTCTGGACCAGACAATCCAGTGATCAACAGCATGAGCATCACATATTTCTACGCAATTGGGACACGATGACATGTAACAACCAAGTCAGCAAGCCTGACCACCCGATCCCGTTAGTCGCCTCTTACGACAAGCATGGGTTACTGAAGATCAATTCTTACTCGGACCTTCACGGGTTATGAATTAGTAGATCTTATTCAGACAGATGCACGCACATTCATTTTGGTACTGGCTATTGACAGAAATACCCACCTGCATTGAGTACTAGCCGCGGACAACGCAGTGAACCCACAGATGTCGCTGAAGTAGATGGTCACATGTTCGTACGCCTCAGCTGCTACAGATTCTCCACGGACAAGAGCTTGGGCGACTGATCTGTCGAGTTCAAGATCATAATTAGTGACAGTCTTTGACAAAGAAACCTCCCCTGTTACACCGTTAATAAACCTTTACATGCATTTGATGTCGTTTATACATTGAATATGGAACTGTGGTCGATCTGGTTATGGGATGGACGAGATTGAGTGAGTGAGGGGTAGTGAAGTGAGTTGGTTTTGATACGCCGCTTAGCAATATTCCAGCAATATCACGGGACACCAGAAATGGGCTTCTCACATTGTACCCATGTGGGAAATCGAACCCGGGTATTCGGCGTGACGGGCGAACGCTTTAACCACTTTGCTACCCACCCCACCGCCCCTGGATGGACGGGGAAACCAAGACATAAGTGTGCCATACGATGTATGCACTGGATCAGAGCCCCTAATAATTTTACAAAAGTACCAATCAGAAAGCCGGTTACCAATCAGCTGCAGTATTGGATTGGCGATGTAGACAACGTGGAAGAAATTGTCCAAAATGATTACGTTAGAGTTTGCCAAAGAAAAATCCAAATTCTTAAACTTTTCTGCCTGATACGCAAAAGAAAGCCCTGACAGTATTCTTAAGGAGACGGAGTCCGCTGAAACTGGCGGTGGTCCGTTGCCTTTGCCTTACCTGTATCTGAAAGCATTTGGTTGGTTGGTAAGTAAATATTAATCAAGGGCGAATAATTGCGATCACCAAATTTACAGGAATGGAACTGGAGGGTATACTGTAAAGCGAACTGGATACACGAAGCCTTGAGAAATAGAATATTGCTCAGCGGGGGAAGAAAAGGCCTGGATATTTTACTACTGCTTCAATCAGTCGTCGGCTACACGTAGTACAGGGTGTTGGCCCAATCACACATAAAATAACTGTTCCAGCTTCCAGGATAATGACCAATTCGGCTTAAATTCGCTTCATGATTCATTGATTGATTGTTGTTTAACGCCGCATTCAGCAATATTCAAGCTCTATGGCGGCGGTCTGTAAATAATCGAGTCTGGACCACACAGTCCAGTGATCAACAGCATGTGCATCGATCTACGCAACAGGCCATGGGATACGATGACAAGTCAGCTAGCCTGACCACCCGATCCCGTTAGTGGCCTCTCACGACAAGATTGGGTTGCTGAAGTGAAATTCCTAACCTGTATCTTCCACCGGGTCTAGACACGAAGTGGGACAGATGACAAGTTTTTGAATTGTGTCTAAAAGCCTGAACAAAGCTAGCGCTTCAAATGGATCTCTTATGTTGGTAGGCGAGGTTTAGAAACTGTTCCAGCAAGGAGACTTCAAATGATTTTCACATGACGTGTCTCAGACCAATCATTTATAGCCCAACCCAGAAAGAAAATAATAGCACACAGCAAACGGTAAATCAATTAATGTTACGGATGAAATATAGCTTGAAAGGTGTCAGTGTAATTTTCATCTTTTAGTTTAACAGATGTTTTAAATTTATTTGTAGGAGGCTGTATGTTGTGAAAATCTCTGTTTCTCTCTACTTGATTGATTACACGGGTGACAGTCGACTTCTCGTTGGCTGAGATTGCACAACACTAAACTAAGCATTCATTGGTCATCCTTATCCAATGGAAACAATTGACTGAAATCAAAAATTTGTTTTGGGCGTCAGGTTGCACACGGCGAAATTAGCCTCTGCTAATGTGGTGTGTTTGCGGG